TCTTCCGTTAACATCATTCAGGTAATTCATCTCGGATCCGTAGAAATCGCGAAGAATATTTACACACGCGATACGACGTAATACGGTGACACTTGTGACAATACTACATCGTCGCAAGCGGTATTTGTATTGCCGTATCGTTGGCTCTTACAGACGTCGAACCTTCGATGCCGCTCTCGAAGCGTGTCAACTTCCTACCCTTGTTACATAACTTAAATTTACATATAACTGCATTATACTTATATAACATATTTTCTGTATTGAGAAATTTGATTTTTGGCGAGAAGCTATACGGTCGATATCAATTATGCCCATTACGAACAGGCTAACTCGTAATGAAATCAACCAACAGAGATGATCGCATTCCTATTCCAACTACTCAAGAAAAATATCACGAACACTTGATTGAATTTGAACCTATATCTTTATAATAGCAACAGAATCGATCGATTTGAGAAATCTACAATTTTATAAAATATAATACATACGAATAAACACTAAAATATTGTGTAAAATTACGGTTAATAATTGAAAATTTCTCGTTTTTCTCATTAAATAATATACAACAATTCTCGTTAAATAAATACCAGTCGACTCCCCTATAACACTGTTGATTTTTCCGTTTTATATGAATTCCAGGTTGTACGAGTCACTTAGATTTTAGAACTACGTGTTCCGGGCTGTGAACTGCTCACGTATTTGTAAAATCTAAGTGACTCGTACAACATGGATAAGTACTTTTTGCATTATCATACAGTTAAACTTTTATGCATGTTTTTAGATTGGAATAGAAACAATACTATAAAGATTAGAAAATGATTTTTTATTTTTAGTTGGATCAAACTTCTTTCGGATTGCCGAGCAGAGATTATTTTCTGAACGAGAACAGTGAAAGGGAAAGAAAAGCCTACCTACGTCTGATGATCGAAATAGCCGTTTTATTGGGAGCAGAAAGAGAATACGCCGAACAAGAGATGCAGGACGTTCTCGATCTGGAGATAAAACTGGCAAATGCAAGTACAAATGTCAATTGCTTATTGAAGGGACGTCGCTTCTTATCGATTGACTTCGCAGCTCGGGTGCAATGCGCGACACCTCGCCGATTTACATTACTTACAATTAATAATGCATTGAAGTAACGGATTTAGTCGCTTTCGATATTCAATTAATTCTAAAACTTTTGATTTCGATACTCGCAATATTTTTTAATCGAAATTCAAATTTTAAATCGCAATTTCCTTAATCGTCCCCTAAACTAAATGACTCGAATTTATTTCTATTTTGCGAATAAATTCGTTTTACAACTTTACAGGAAATTGTTTCATTTTATATCAGCCTTAGGTTATCTATGATGTTCTTTTTTACTATTTTTTAAACTTTTAAAACTTTATTTAATATGTAAACATTTTAAAAATGGTTTTAACATTTATTCAATGATTAAGTAATTGTAACCAATATATAATTATACGAATTATAATATGACATATATCGGATTTTACGACTTAATAACGTTTCATTAATGCCGTCAGAACAGTAAGAATGACATAATACAGTAACACTAATTTATTTTATAATAGAAATACGTGTTCTTACAAATGGAATTTTAATCGATACGTTGCGTTAATAAGTGTAGATACGATATTATGCAAAGAATCGAATAAATTAGACGCGTAAATAGTGTATTAAATATAGTTTATTAATATAATAATAGCCCAATCGTATTAGTATAATAATAACCTAACTTATCATTGAATCGCCTCGAATTTATATAAATTTTAAAAATTTATCAATAAAGATTTGCGTTTAAAATTGAGTTTTATGCAAAAAGATTAAGTCAAATTTTAATGTGTTCACGAACTTCCAATAAAGTGCCCTTTTTACTAGAGGTTTGTTACGAATATGAGGAATGAACTCGATATACTGTACAGTACAGTACATAAAACACTAAACTGAAAACCTTATTAGATACCTTATTTCGTAGAACTCCTTCAATTAATAGTATATAAAGCATTCGTATCGCAATGTGTTGTCGGTTATAGTTAATTTTATAAAAATTCATAATTAAATTATAAAAGAAATGTTTTATAATTTTACGTTTGAACTTTAACCTATTCCTGATTTATTTTCGCTCTCGAGTATTTCCTGTAAGTTTAATATCTTATCGAAATAAGAAGCTAATAAAATCATTCGATTCGAGAAAGGTATAAAAAGTTATCGAAGATAGGATTTATTTATAGTAAGACTGTAAATAAGAAATTAAATTAGTAATTTTATATTACTCGCCGATATTCCGGCGCACTCTGCTCTTAAAGTCACGTAACGATAACGTGGCAATATAGCCCGATCCACTAATTACCTGCCTAAGGTAGAAGTACGGACTACCACACACTTAAATTAAGCATGTATTAAACATAAATTTAAGCATTAGCGTTTGACACAGCTAACTCTGTCCTCTTTTTTTAAGAAGACGTAAAGGTTTGAATGTAAATTCAATGAGCGGAACAGAGGCGTATACGCAGCAATTTCGATGCGAATGCGCTACGCTCAAAGCCTTCTGTGGTCGTTAAGTAAATATATCTGGTGATGGCGAATATTTTAAATGCCCTCTCGTAATTCTGTCCGGACGGACCGTCGGGTACAGGAAAATCGACAAACCTTTATTTAAAATAAGAGAATTGGGATACAGAAATGTGTTTCTATATCAAAATAACGAAATGTATAAGAAGAAAGTTATTAAAATGAAATTATTTATATTTAGGGATGAATTCATTTCGTTCAATTTATCTTCTGTAAAATTCCTAACACTAAATAGCAAAACAGATTATTGTTTTAAAGTGAGCGCTCTTTCTTAAAGAATCTCTCATTTATATTGTTTTCTCGTTTGTCTCATTCAATTGAGACAAACAAGAAAACTGTTATTTTTATAAATTATTCTAAAATATTTTAAAATTGATACGAATTAATTGGATAAAACGATTAAACATTCGAGAAAATCTAAACTTAAAAATTAAAACATACCTTTACGAATATCAACCCAAAGTTAAACTTAAAATTTACAAAAAAAAAAATAAAAATAAAAACACTAAAAACTTTCGCAAGAAGTTACAGAATAAAACACAGAACCTCTTCATCTTTCTTCTTCATTTTAGGTCCTTTTCACACTTGAAGATGTTTATTTGGTTAAGTTATGGCAACGCTACACTTGGGCGACCTACCTAGGGGGATGCCTTCCGGGAGGTCTTTTTAAGGGAAACCGGCCCGTATTTAGCAGTTAAAGACGTGGAGAAAACCCGGAAAACTCCACGTGGCCAGCCCGTCCGAGCGAGGCGCGAACCNGCGGCTTTTAAGTAATGCATAAACCTTCGAGGCGTGAGGCCCTTCGGACCGCAAGGCATAGGTGGTGGCCCACGTTGCCCATACTCTGTCCATACGCCGCCCTTGGTCATAGAAATGATGTAATTTGAATATAAATTATTTATAAATACGTATGTCAAGTTATATTTTTATTACTACGTAAAATATATTTAAGAGTTTACTACCACTGTGCCGGGTGAGACGTTGTTGAAACAAAAAAGTTATGCATTCATCACGTACATTAACAGTGTCGTAATTTGCCAAGTGCAAATCAGCAAATTCGTAAAATTTTTGTTTATTTTGAACAATCCGGATAATCGAAAATCCGGATAATGGAGGTCCGGATAATGGAGGTTCTACTGTAATTTATATATTTTAGCCTAAAAATATAAATTTTATTTTTAATACTCTCATATATTGTATATGTTAAACTGCAAAATTCAGGTATTCTCCGAAATGCCTAAACAATACGTAAAATAAACTTTTACCTTCATATACTGCCAAAAAATCTTAGGCATTTTATATAATACCTAGGAGTGTTAAGCAATGAAAAACTATGGAAAGAAATGAAAAACTATGAAATTCGGCCATTGTATAGAATGACCCAATTCACAGATTCCCGGTAAGCGTAGGCTATAACTTAAATAAATAAATTTTGTGTTAGTTTATTTTATTATAAAAGTATATTAATGGGATTTCAGTGTTCCGGATAATATTTAGAAGAAATCTTGCAGAGCGTATCGAAATCCATCATCATTCTAGACATTTGAAATTTAAAGTAAAAAAAGAAAAGTTTTTCTTACAAAACCTTGCAAAACTACTTCATCCGATATATTCTTCTTTAACATAATACTGAAGTGAATTAATTGAAGACAAGAAAAAAAAAAAAACTTTTATCAAGCCATGCCATTTTCTATACATTTTAAGAAAATTTCCCTTTCTAATTTTTTGTTTTTTGGAGCAACATCAAATTGACGTCACAACTGTGACCTTTAAGCAAAATACGAATTAATGCATCGGAGCTATATTCCACGGNTGTTAAGCCTAAACAAAATTTTTTAAAATAATAATCGTCGCTATTGTATCGTTAAAAATTAGAAAATTAAGCCTCGTTTAAATACTGGCTCCCTTTCATGGTCGAATGAGTGTTGCCAGCTAAAACACGAAAAAATAATATTAAAGAAGCCAAGATAGCCAAATATTGCAGCGCCACATCACTAGCGGACATTTGAAATTTGCCAACTAGGACGGTCGGTTAACCGAGGTGTCGGTTGATCGGGGACCGGATAATCGAGGCTCTACTGTACCAGTGTTCAAGGAACGAAAACTGCTCGACTACTGGTGGGCCCACACTTCAAGAACAGACAGTCTTGCGGCGGAGTCGATTTTTTATTGTAGGCTCTTATTCGCTTCCGTATGTAAAATATGCAAAAAATATTTTTTTTTTCATCGGCACGGTTAAAAGCCGTAAGAATGTTCGTTCCTGAAGTGCGCAAAGAACGTACAGTGAAGAAAAGTGAAGAGGTTCTGTGTTTTCTTCTGTAACTTCTTGTGAAAATTTTTAAAAAAGTTTCTTGTAAATTTTAATCTTACGTTTAAAATCTGCAGTATTTTTTTTAAATTTCATAATATATTTCTACACTTAGGCCTCCATGCCGAAGGCCGAACGTCACGATATGGGAGCCATATATAATAAAATGCCTCTTTACGAATTAAAAGAAATAGTTCCGGAGGTAAGATTTAAAAATAAACAAATAAATATATAGGGTGGATCGTTAAGCGTAAATTTCATCATTTGAATTACACTTTTCAGTTCGACTGGCTGGATTATTTGAATATCTTTCTACCCACGACTATAACAGATGAAGAACCAATCGTTCTGTACGCTTTGCCTTATTTAAAAGAGCTGAGGAATATACTGAGAGAGACAGAACAGAGGTAAGTAAAACCCAGAATATATGGATAATTTAATTCGAATAAATGCCATAACTTATATCAATTTTCCAACAGAACTATTCATAATTATTCGATATGGATGTTGATAAAGCAGATTTTGCCATTTCTGGTGGGAGAATACGCCCAAAAACGGTCGGAATTTCGAGAAATATTATACGGAGTGTCTGCGGATAGAGTTAGGTGGACAAATTGCGTGGAATTAGTGAACAAAAGAATGGGCATGGCCGTGGGAGCGCTCTTCATCAGGGATAATTTCGATCCCAAAAGCAAAGAAACGGTAAGATTCTTTTCGAAAAACGTAAAGAATTCCGACGCTTATTAACGCCAGAATTTTACGTCAGGCACTCGAGATGATTCATAACATCAGAGAAGCATTCAACGAATTACTGGAAGAAAATTATTGGATGGACGACGAAACCAGGGCAGTGGCTAAAGAAAAGGTCAATTTCTACTTGACCCCTTCTCTTTTTATATACGTTTTTCTTATATTAATTTAGTTTAATCGATTTCGTGCCATACGCAATTTGCATATTTCAAGTCTTCGCCTTATTCTCTTATTTTGAATATGTGCAAAACGCAACTTAATCTAAATTGCTGTAGTAATAAAATACATTTGGATGTTGTTTCTATCCACTCGTACAGTCACAATAGAACAAATAACTTGGGTATTTAAATGTTGATTACGTGTGTTTAGGCCAACGCCATGAACGAGAGAATCGGTTATCCGGATTTATTAACCAGTCCTGTGGAATTATCGAAAGAATACGATGCGGTAAGTATCCCCCTTTTCACGGTACCTACGTAAGATTAAAGGAAACTAAAGGCTTTCTTTCCGCAGCTAATCATCCACGAACAACATCTTCTGATAAATCTCTTCAATGTTTTAAAATTCGAAGCATCGAAGAATTTATTAAAATTACGTCAGCCGGTTAACAAAGACAGGTGGGCGTTAGCATTCCTTTTCGATTTCGAACTAATTCGACGTAATGGGAATTATATATTTAATTTTTGCAGATGGACCACGGAGCCAGCAGTAGTCAATGCNTACGTAAGATTAAAGGAAACTAAAGGCTTTCTTTCCGCAGCTAATCATCCACGAACAACATCTTCTGATAAATCTCTTCAATGTTTTAAAATTCGAAGCATCGAAGAATTTATTAAAATTACGTCAGCCGGTTAACAAAGACAGGTGGGCCTTAGCATTCGTTATTGTTTTTTCTTTGCGACTTAACGTAACTAAAATTGATTTTATCTGTTTCCTATTTACAGATGGACGACCGAACCCGCTGTAGTAAATGCATTTTATAATCCAAACAAAAACGATATCGTTTTTCCGGCTGGGATATTACAACCGTTATTTTACAGCCAGCACTTCCCAAAGTAAACTTTTCTGATATCTAATTTTTTTTCTTTGTGTACTTATTGATATACGGCCCACTCAGATTTATACGAAATGTAAATGGATTTGCATAAATCAAATTTCTCTTTCGTAGGCCGTATCGACGATAAATCGAAAATATTATACATTAAGGTCTGTCAGAAAAATGTTCCAATTGATTAATTTGCAAATCTTTCAATTTTTTATCATATATCGCGGTTGTAAAATCTCGATTTCGAACCATGGAGAAAAAGTTTGATTTATTCGCCATTATATCGGTCAAATGTGAAACGGAATTAAAGAAAAATAAATTTTCTAATAAATCTATATATCTATATCTATATCTATATATATATAAATGGACGTGTGTGTCCCTATATTTCACTTTTTCGCCAAAACTACACATCGCACGTGAATGGTGTTTGTATGTGGTGGTAGCCCCAAGTTTCCATTCGTGCATAGGGGTGGTTGCGTCTCGATAGCTATAAGGGTGCGGGAGATATGAGGCTGAAAGTGGTTGAAAGTGGCTTTCTATTTCGAATGTTTTGTTCGAATTTGTTCGAATTAAATTCGAACATAAAATTCGAATATTGGTTCGATTATAGAACGATTGTAAACGTTCCAGAAACGTTGAAAATAGTTCGTTTGAC